AGATGCTCAAGAAATTGTAGAAAGGAAAGAAATAGAAAGAAAGAAAGAAAGGAAGGAAGAAAGACTGACTCCCACAGAATGCGTCTAGGCTTCGTTCCCAAAAGGGGCTAGCAGGAGCCCCATCCCAAAGGATCTTAAACACACTGAGCTCTCCTCGACCCCCATCCCACGTCCATGTCTGCCTCTTCCAGGCCTTGAGCAAGTTCCTCCACTCAGAGGCCTGTTGTGGGGATTTAAAAAGACTAGGAGGATGTTAACCAGCTAGAATTTAAATACAAATTTTTTAAAAAGGGGGGGGGCGAGGAGGGAGGCATCACAGAGTCTGACACACTCAAGCCCTCAGCAAATGTCACCCCTGTGGGCGGTGTTGTTTGTTACTCATATTGGAGGGAAAGAACCAAAACCAAAGTAGCTTCCCGGAGTCAGGAGTTGTAGAGCTGGGGATGTTGGGTACCTGTGTGTGCGCATGTGTGTGTGTTTCCGTGGGGTTCTCTCCCCAGAGCCGTGGCTGAGAGCATCTGTCCCAGGTTGGCAGGGCCAGTGGATGACTCATGTGGTCCAGACACCAGGTTCATCTCTTGGGAGCCAGAGATGGTCACGTGCTGGGGCCTCAGTCACCCGAACGGGCAGGACAGGCTGATGAGCCCGCAGACTGCTGTCCATTTATACGGAGTTAGCCTGTATGACACCGGTGGTTCTTAAACATTTCGCAGAGGGGGGAGGGAAGGATAAGTGGTGTCAGAGAACCTTTTGAAAGTTGACATGAAAAACGCACATTTATATGTAAACACAAAAAAGTATTTCCAGCAAGCTCAGGCCATTCACAGGGGGACCACTGTTCCAGAACGCTCGACTGGGGCCCCCACGGAGGCAAGACCGGAGCCTGCGTCTCCTGAAGAAATGAGTGCATGTGTGCCTACATGAATGGACGAATAAAAAAGAACAAAAGCCCCAGGCTCTTGGCAGCTTTGCTGGCGGGCAGTGCATCTTCTCCCTCCTGGTGCAACCTCAGAAAAACTGGCTGGTTTCGAAAGACCTGCATTCAAGCGTTGCCTTAGCCACCTTGCACTTGTCCCCTGACCTCTCTCTGCTTCACCTTCCTCATCAGGAAAATAATGTGAATTACGGACAGTGTTTTGTAAATTACAAAGCCTACTGAACATACCAGGGACTCTCCCTTTGGTTGGATTCTTATTCTAAGGGTGCATTTTCTCCAGCTCCCAACAGCACAGAACTGCCTGGGGGATGGGAAGGTTCCTCCTTGGGGCGGGTTGCTCAGGAGAAGCTGAGCTGCCAGCCCTTCCTTCGTTTAGCATATCTCCAGTCAGATGGCCCAGGTTAAGGGAGATAGCTTGTATGGGGTCATTCCCAGCCTAAGGCCACCCCCCACCTAAGTAGCTGAGACTGAGTCTTACAATCATTCAGGCAACAAATGTTTTTGAGCAGCTACTCCAGACCAGCGCCTGCGCCAGGTGCCGGGGACATCATGGGAGCAAACCCGCTCTGGTCCCCATCATCGTGGAGCTGATAGTCTGAGGGAAAAAGATTTTAATCAATCATCCAGGAAGAGCCCAGGGTGCTGTGGAGGTGTGTAGTAAGAGAGGGAGGGTGCCTGGGCAGGACAAGTTTCCTTTTAGAAGTGACAGATGAGCTGAGCCCTGAACTCAGTGGGATGGATGCAGTGGGAAGTACTCTGGAAAGAGCCCATGGCGAGTGCAAAGGGCCGGTGGTAGCACATTTGAAAGTCTGAAAGAAGTCTATTACACAGTGAGTGGGAGAGGGATGCAAGAAGTAACCAGGGACAGTCACGAGGCAGGCAGAGACCAAATTCACCTTGTCGTCTTTAATGGGACATTTGCAAAAAAAACGGAGGAAATGGCATGACGGATTTCAAGTCTCAGGAAGCCGTTACATAGAAGGAGGGTGCCTTAGAAACCAAAGGAGAGGAACTATCCCAGCAAGTGGGATTAGAGTCAGACTGTAACGGGGTCCTCCTGGTGGCTCTGGCGCTGAGCCCACCTGCCCAGGTCGCCAGGTCACTGAAGGCCCTCAGCCTCCTCCAGACAGAGAAGTGCAGGCCTCCACAGTGGAGCTGATGACCGCCACTTGCTAAACAGCAGCCTTGGGCAAGGCACTTTCTTAATGTCCCCAACCTTCTGCTTTCTTACATGTAAAAATGAGAATACTAAAATCCACTGGCCAGGGCTGCTATAGGGATGATGTTCCCGGCACTGACGTCCTCTCTCCCTCCCCAAGATGCCCAGTTGGGAGGAACCAGACCATGTGCCCCTCCCCTTCCGCCACTGCCTCTCCCTCTACCAGGCCTGTCGGAGAGCCAGAGTCCCCCATCCTGATTCCTGGCCTCCCAGGCTCTATTGCCAAAACCTTAGGAGAGAGTCACACCCTCTTTGTCAAGGCCAACTGGAGAGCCCCATCCCTGGCCACCTGAATCAGGCTTTCCCTGACACTCCTGTCTCTGTCGCCTCAGATGACCCCCGTCCCCGCAAGCTCTGGGCCAGACTGACTGACGGGAATTCTCAGGTGAACCCTGCAGGAAAGGGAGAAGCTCTGCAGCTGATGCTGGGCAGAGCCTCACCCTGCTGGGCACGGGGAGGGGGTGAGGTGGGAGGTAGGATTCCCCTTCCCTTTCTGTCCACCTCTTTAGACACACAGCTGATCATTCCAACTTGTCCCACTGCCCAGCTGTGCTCATTGGCACAATGAGACGCACGGGTTTAAGAGACAGGATTGTGTCCAGAAACCTTGAGCGCAGAGTGAACGGGGAGTTTCTAGATTTATTCCACAGATGCACCTTGCGGAGAGCTCCTGGGGCTCTAATACCCCCAGGGCTGGAAGGCAAAGGTGGCCAGTAAGGACTGGCTTTGGCCACAACAGAAAGTTACCCGCCCGCCGCACCCTCAGCCCCCGTGGTGATTTTGGAATCAGCTGAAAGGATGTTAATCTAATCATCAGGGTCAGAATCTGAATCTGGTGCCGCCTTGGGGGCATGGGACTCTGGGCAAGTCACTTGATCTCTCTGAGCCTCAGTTTCCCTGCTGGAAAAGGGGGATAATCCTGGAGCGACCAGTTAGTGAGAAGATGAAATGAGGAGACACAAACGGAGTGATAGGTCCAGCCCAACACAGCAGAAGACATGTTTCATTCAATAACAAACATCCAAAGCCCACTGTGTGCGGCAGGACACTAATGCATAAGGCAAGCGTGGTCTCTGCCCTCCTGTTGGTGACAGGAGAGAAGGGGTGGCAGATGCTGAAGAAGGGGACCCGTGTGGGGTAAAGGTTAAGGAGACCAGGCTGGGGGACACCTGGGTGTCATGATCATGTCTCAGGTTATGATCCCAAAGTGCTGGGATCGAGTCCCTCTTTGGGCTCCCTGCTCAGTGGGGAGCCTGCTTCTCCCTCTGCCTACCACTCCCCCTGCTTGTGCAGGTGCTCTATCTCTGACAAATTAAAAAAAAAAAAAAAAAAAAAAAGGCTAACCAGGCTGGAAGCCCAGCTCTACCATTCACCTGCTGGATGACCCTGGCCAAGCTCCCTTCTTTGTGCCTTGATTTCCCATCAGCAAAAGAAGCCATGCACCATCTCACAGAGTGGTGAGGATTCCGTGAGCTGACCCACGGAAATATACCAACAGCATTTCCCACGTGCTCTGGTGGCACACGGGGGATCAGTATAATCAAAGGAGCTTCAAGACCTCAACAGAGGCTGGACTCCCCCAGCAAGTGCGGCAGGTGTGTTCCTGAGGAGGGAAGTCCCTGAAAAACATCAGGGGTGCTGCAATGCCAGAAGAGAGGGTGGGCAGTGTTGACAGGGACATGAGCAGCAAGCCAGTGAAGGAACTGGGGCGCTGGAAGTTAAGTTCAAAGGTTTTTAAGCAGCTTCAAGGCCTTCGTTCTCCTTTGTACATGCAGAAACGCAGCACACCCTTGTCCTGTCCACACTAGTGCCCCGCACAGGGTAATTCTTTATGGACCCTTGTTCCATCGCTGGTTTCCAGCGCCACCGGCTGCCAGATCACACAGGGCCTTCCCACCCGCCGGCTCTCCTGGAGGAGTGGAGCAGGGCGAGATTCAGACCCAGGCCTGGGGGCGCCTGCGCTCTGCACCCACACAGCTCCTTTGTGACCCCGAGGGCCAGGCGCGCCTATGTTTGAACTCAGGCAAATAATTTCTCCGGTTGTGAATATTCAACGGCAAGTGTAGCAACCTCGTACAGTGCCCTGTTCATAGTACGCTCTCAGTATATATAAGTTTCGGGTCTCTCCTGTAGAAACAGAAGCTTCTCCCCAACCATCCGGCTGCAGGGCGGACGGAGTTGGGCGGGGGCGGGGTGGGGGGGACTGGGTTGGGGGAAGGGGGGACGCAGGGGAGTGTGGCTAGGCACTGACTCTTACGAAGCAGGAGAGAAAGTGGGTTTTTTATTTACAACACCACTTGCAAAGGGCAAACAGTTGGGTCCTTAAATCAGTGTTTACGGGGTGGGGTGTGGACGGGCCCCTTCCCCTTCGATCCCCTGTAACCCGTAAACGAGGAAGGGTCCCAAGAGGCGAGGTGCCGCGACTCCTCGCGGAGGGCCGGGCCAGGCGTACGTGAGGGGAGGCACTGCTTTCCCTGGTCTGGGTCCAACGGTGCCTACCGCTTGGCTTAGGAGCGAAAAAGGGAATGGGGGCTGGCGGTAGGAGTGCATTTCTGCAAATTTCAGGGCTCGGCGCCCTGAAGGCACAGCCCTGACACTTCTGGGTGTGTGGGCGGGGACTCACGCAGAGCCCCGCAGCCGCTCCAGCAAGGGTGCCCCCCACCCACGCTCCTCCGGAGGGATGCGCTCCATCTCCCCTCTCCTCCCCTCTCTCCCTGCGCGCAACCCCACCTTCGCTAGCGCTCTGGTAGCTTGCGGGGCGGCCTGGAGGCGTGTCCCGCAGGCGGCCCGCCCCTTTGATGTGAGCCGGCGCCGCTGTGATTGGACAGTCGCTTGTGACGTGAGGGGACTGCGGTGGGCCCGGGTGCTGCGGCTGCCGCAGCACCGGCCGCGGCTCGGGCTCCGGCTCCCGGGCATTTAAAGGGGACGCGGCGGCGGCCCGGGGGGATGGGGGGCAGGTGGAGGGGACGGCCCAGACGCACATCATCCACGGCCCCTCGGAACTGGAGGGACTCGTGAGCCGGAGCCCAGAAATCCAGGGGTGGATAAGACACCGCGTCCCCTCCAATTCCCGTAAGCACCCCTTGCCCCATCCTGCGCCCAAATACCTTAGCTAGCCCCTCTCCTCACTTTACACTCCAAACTAAGCCGGGACAGACCTCTGCCGCTGCCGCTCCCCACGTGAGTCCTGGGCTCCCCGAGGTAGGGGAGGGCTGGGGTCCCAGTGTGGGGTGGGGGCTGTGTGGAGTTTGAGGGCGCTCCTTCACGTGTGTCAGTGGGGGAGTCCCTGGAGCGGAGAAATGAGCCTTTCTCCTTTCTCCTACCCCAGGAACGAGGTGCCGGGATATCCCTCTGTCCCTGACTCAGGCAAAGCGAAGGAATCTGTGCCCCCTTGCTCACTGCCACCCACCAGTCCCCTGGGCTCCCCGAGCTGCGCCCCCCCCCCACTGCCCCGCATTGGAGCGAAGCACCCGCCAGCTGGGGGTGTGCCAGGACGCCTGCTTTCCAGCCACCTCTAAAAATATCTCTCCCCCCCCCCAATCTACCGGCAGCTGCCACCTCCCTGTCCACGGAGGATCCCCTTCCAGCTTGTCCACTCAGGCAGGGCGGGCCCAGAGGGGACTCCTGGTCCCAGCTTCTTCACTGACACCAGGGATTCAGGTCCTCAGGGCCAGCTTACTCACAGCCCAAGGGGGTCTCCAGGACAAGAGGGGGAGCTCTGGCTGCAACTCCACCAAGGGGCACCAGGGACTCCTAAGTTCTAATTCTGCAACTGATGTTCTGTGACCTCCAAGGATGTTAGCTTGACCTCTCTGGGCCTCCACTTTTCCTATTTGCTGCTGGTGGTGGTTAGAAGGAAGAGACCATGGTGAAGCTGGGAATACAGTCTTGGAGATGGAGAAAACTTCAGTTTAGTTGTGGGATCCAGTTCCTAGTGATTGATAGAGAAGATCTGGTCTTGGGCAGGGGCTTGTAACTATGGTATCTGCAGGGCCCTCCCTCCCCACCTCAATCCTTACCCTCCATGTTTCCTGGGGAAAACTGTCCCCGAACTGTCCTGTGGGCTCCCCATCACCTCATGGGGGCGGGGGAGGGGAGGAGGACTTTCAAACTGTTTTTCCCTCCCCCAACTGCATTCCCACAAATGTCATCTAAAGCATTTTTGTCAAAGGCAGGAGGAAACAAGGAGTAATCCGGTGATCTGACGTGGCATCAGGGAGGCAAGCACCGCTTTTAAGTGGGACTAGAATATGGACTCCCTGCCGCCCCAGAGAAACTCCTCTCTCCTCTCTATGCTCTAGCCATCTAGAGAAGCTCAGACATCCTGTCCCCCTTTTCTCTGAGGGACTCTTTTTGGTGACCACAAAAGAATTTGGTCACTTAGGACAAAGCTGCCAGAGGTGAGTAAACTTACTAAATGTCATGAGTCCCAGATGCCAGTTGGGCCTGGGGGGGGCCACTGATTACTCTTGGGGTAAGGGCGGGGTAGCAGCACAGCCTTCTCTTTCTGGGGGAAGAAACTCAGGATGCCAGGCTTTCTGCTCTGGGGCCTAAAAGAAACAAGGGCAACTCACTAAACAACAAATGTTGAACCGATTTCCCTCAATAGTATTATTAGATTAAAAAAAAACCATAATTATGTTTTTTGCTCTAATGATTGAGAAGTTTGGGATATGATTGAAAGTCAGTAGATGATTCCACCAAATTTTTAGAAAAGAAAAGAAAAAAAGAAACAAGGGCAAAACCAGGAGGCCCTTTTCTGTGGGATGAAAGTTGGTCTCTGAGTGACCCTTTTCTGTGGGATGAAAGTTGGTCTCTGGGTGGCTGCTTGAAGAGCCTGTGTATCTTTCCATCTCCCACTCCCTTTTCCCGGAGCCCTGCTCTAGTCTGTGTGTGCCGAGGGGCTGCTTGCTTTTATCACAGAAGTGGCATCCGCTGGCCTTTCCCCTCAAATTCGCTGGGCCTAGGAGCAGACAGGGGCTATCAGGCAGGATCCTGGGACTTTGGAACTCCCTCCAGATAGGGCCTGGGAAGAGCCTTCCCATCCTCCAAAACATGCCATTCCAGTGTCCCCATGCTTTCTCACCCATCGGCTCCTTGACCTCTCCCCTAGCCCCCACCTTCTTCTGTCCCCTCTCCCCATTCAGCTTTGGCTGCCCTTCCCAATTCTAGATGAAAAGTTCTTCCGGGAAGAGCCTGAGACCCACTTCCATCCATATCAAAAGGGCTCAACACACTTGTGGTTAGGGCGTGGTAGCTCCGAGTTGACAGAGGCCCACCCTCTCACCTGTGCCCTGTTCCTGGGAGGTCCCAATCTCTATCTCCTGGCCCCACAACTGCTCCTTGAGGGTCTGGGATGGTCTGGGAAGAGTGTCACCTTGACAAAGTCAGGGGTTTCCAGTGTCATCTGCTATGACCACCAGAGGGCAGCAACCAGCCAGGACTTTGCTCGATTCCCCATCTAGTCTCCTGGTTCTCAGTATCTTTCCAGAGCTGTCCCAGATGCTTCTAGTCTCTCATTCAACCCCAAGGTGAGGGCCAGGGATGGGGTATGGGGAGGCCCTGGGAGCTGTAGGTGGTGCCCTCTGTAGCTGAGTGGGTGAAACCCCCATGAAGGCAATCCCTGTCCCCAAAGCCACATAGCAAAGCCCCGCAGAAATTTCAAACTGACTTCTGGCCAGTTGCTGGTCTCTGAAATCACCAGGAAGGCCAGTCCCAAATCATCTGGGATGCTCAGGGGTCCCGGCCCCCAGCTGTGGTACAGTAAGCCCGACATTTGCCCTTGTCCCTTTAAGGGCAGAGAGCATCCAAGGCTGTGGCCAGGTGCTCATGAACCAGGTCTCCCCGGGGACACTGTACAGCCTCCTTAACCTCTCTGGGCCCTTCTTATCTGCTGAATTCATGCAACTGTGACAAGCAGTGGGAGAACATGTGTGCTGGTGACATGTAAACCCTGACACAGGAAAGGGGCCAGGATCATACTGGAGAGAAAAAGCACTGGTCTCAGACCCTAAGTTCCAGTTTTGAGATCTGTCTTTGCCACTTACCTTTGAGTAAGTCGGCTGACCTCACTGGGTCTCCAGTTACTATAACCTCTCAAATGACACAGGGGATTGGTAGGGGGATACCTCGCAAGGGTTTTGCCCTCTGTGAGCCCAGTGCTTATCTGAGGGGTTTTTACTTAGCCCCTGGGAGTGGCTCCGGGGGCTCAGCTGAGGAGACAGAATCAGGTGGGCATTAGTGATGGACACAAGGCTAGCTGCTGGCGCCCTCCAACAGACCTTGTGTGGTTGTCAGGAGCTCTGGACGACGGCTGTAGGCCAACGGAGTCTTCTGCAGTTGGTGCCCAGGGTGATGCAGTGACAATGAGCGGGTGTTTTCCAGTCACTGGTCTCCGATGCCTGTCTAGGGTAAGTGGGTACCTCCAGGGGTCTCTGAGGCTAAGGCCTCAACCGCCTTCCCATCACGGGGTGGAAGGAGCCCTCTCCAGCCCCTTTTAGTCCTACCTCATCTCTACTGGGCCTCCACTAATCTCTGGAAGCTTCCATCCCAGGTGTGGGGTCCTGATGCTTTTACAACCTCAACTCCAGGGATCCTGAGCAGCTAAGACTCCCAGATGGATGTCCATGAGACCAGAGCGTGACTCTTAGGGATGAGCTTGAAGGGACAGTGCTATTAGGGAGGCAGAGAGCTAGGTCCACACCCCAGCTCTGACACTGGGATCTTGGACTTCATTTCACAAGCTGGGCCAGGCCACAAACCTCACAGGAGTGTCGGAGAGCTAGTTAGGAAGAAGCCAGGAGGAGGAGTGGTTCCGTCTGGACTGACTGAGGTGGGAAGCCGGGAGGGTGAAAGGCAGTGTGGTGGGTATTCTGGAATTGTCCGTGATTGGCTCTCTGGCCCTCTGCCAAGCAAAAGGGGCCTCCACTCGCTTGCCTTTGTGCCTCGCACTTGCACTCTTGGCCTCCATCCTCTCCCACGTCCTCTGTAGGTGGGACTGTGGCCCGAGGTCTCTGCTTCCTGGAGCCCTGCATCCCCACTGTGCTGTCTCCAGGCTCCCCTGGCATGACCACCTCCTAGCCTTCTTTTTCCCCGCCCTGTGCCCACTCTTTGCTCCCTCCTGCTCTGCCTTTACAGCCACGCTGCTCTCTCTCCTCTCCCTCACCTGTCTCCCAGGTATGTCGCGGCCTGGCACGGGAAGCTTCTATCTCCCCAAGTCCCACTGCTTCTGCTGCCCGCTTCCTTCGGACTCTGGCAGAAACCCCACCCGCTGACGTGTTCCTCCCAGGGAACTGGCAAGTGATTAGTGATGAGCTGTCCGCACAGGGCCCTAAAACTCCCTGGAGAAGCCGTGTCCCATCCTGGGACCCTTGCCCAGTGCCATCTGGCTGGAAGCAGCTCCCAGAGAGCCTTTCTGGGTCAACCCAGTGACCTGGTTATTCCAAGAGCTAAAACCCAGTTCTCTGGCCAGAGCAGAGGTCCAGACGCGTAACTCTCCAGGCCCAGCCCTTAGCCATGATCCAGGCCCGAAGACCTGGCATTCACACCAACGAGTGTTCCCTGGAGCCTGGCTCCTTATTGTCCATAGTCCTATCAGCTGGGCATGGCCCAAAAAGGGAATGAGGAGGCTGCTTCATCTGGGTGAATGCCTGGTTTCCCTTGCCTACATATGTTAGGGAAGAAGGGGGTGGAGAGGGCTCCAAACCAGAATGGGGGTCACTGGAAGTCTCCAGAACGGCCTGGTCCAGAAACCTCCCTAAAAGGGTGACCCCTTGGAAGCTGCTCCTCCCCTCCGTTAAGCTGACCCCGTTAAGCCCCAGTGGCCCCACAGAGGAGTTAGCAGAAACAGGTGCCAAGGAAGCCCTTCTGGGTTCAGGAAGAGGGCGGTCTTCCGGGGATAAACCCCAGCACAGTTCACTGAGAGGTGCCAACATGGGGGTGGGCAGGGAAGGCTGGGGCTGGGGCGGCGGCGTGGGGTCCTCTGCCTACCTTAACCTGCCTTGGGTCCTCCTCAGGTCTTGGATGTGCCAGCGCCTCTGGCCGTGGCCCGCTAACCAGCCTCTCCCGGGCCGGCTCGCGCCGCGCCCCCTCTCGCTTGCTCCCTCCTCCTCCTCCTCCTGCTCCTCTCCCCCCTGCTCCCAGGACGGCGGGATGGCCGCGCAGGGCGCGCCGCGCTTCCTCCTGACCTTCGACTTCGACGAGACCATCGTGGACGAAAACAGCGACGACTCCATCGTGCGTGCCGCGCCGGGCCAGCGGCTCCCCGACAGCCTGCGGGCCACCTACCGCGAGGGCTTCTACAACGAGTACATGCAGCGAGTCTTCCAGTACCTGGGCGAGCAGGGCGTGCGACCGCGGGACCTGCGCGCCATCTACGAGGCCATCCCCCTGTCGCCGGGCATGAGCGACCTGCTGCAGTTTGTGGCCAAGCAAGGCTCTTGCTTCGAGGTGATCCTCATCTCGGATGCCAACACCTTCGGCGTGGAGAGCGCGCTGCGCGCCGCGGGACACCATGGCCTGTTCCGTCGCATCCTCAGCAACCCGTCGGGGCCCGACGCGCGGGGGCTGCTGGCGCTGCGGCCCTTCCACACGCACAGCTGCGCGCGCTGCCCCGCCAACATGTGCAAGCACAAGGTGCTCAGCGACTACCTGCGCGAGCGGGCCCACGACGGCGTGCACTTCGAGCGCCTTTTCTACGTGGGCGACGGCGCCAACGACTTCTGCCCCATGGGGCTGCTGGCGGGCGGCGACGTGGCCTTCCCGCGCCGCGGCTACCCCATGCACCGCCTTATCCAGGAGGCGCAGAAGGCCGAGCCCAGCTCCTTCCGCGCCAGCGTGGTGCCCTGGGAAACGGCCACCGACGTGCGCCTCCATCTGCAACAGGTGCTGAAGACGTGCTGAGGACGGCGGCCTGCAGGGGGCGCCCGGGCGGGGTGGGGGTGGGGGACCGCGGGAAAGACAAACCTAGTTTTATTACTCCCTTTCCCTCGCTCTCGCTTCGGTATGTCCCTCTGGAAATTCCGGGAATCCCGGGCTCGTCCACGTGGGGGCTGGGAGAGGGAGTTCGGAGCCGTCCCTGTCTATGCAGTTAACCCCAATCGGCTGCCTCTCTGCCCCCCTCCCCGTCCCCGTTTCACTGCAACGTTAAATTCTGTAGTCCGGCCCCACCGAGGTGGTTGGTGCACATCCCTGGGAAGGCAGCGGTGTTTCCAAGATCCTTGTCCTCGGAACTGAGAGGAAGCGGTCCCCACGGCTTTCACTGCTCCCCTGAACTGCGGAACCTTCCCATCTCCCTTTCTTCTGCTAAGGGAACTCGCGACCCCAAAGCCTCCCCCGTCGCGCCGGAATCCCAGCAGAGAGAGATGAAGCTCTGCACCCACGACCTCAGGCCTAGATCTTGCTTCACCTAGCGCGTCTCCACACGACACCCTTTTTCTTCTGGCCTCCCTCCCCGCACACAATCCCCTTCTCCCACCCCCACCAGCATCCCCAAAGGGGTGGGGGGAAGCCAGAGGGAACAGTCGCCGCCTTGTGGTGGAACGAGGTAGCACACTGTCCGACTCGGGTCCGTCCAGCCTGGGATCTCGAAGCGCGCGACGGTGGCTCCCCTCACCCCAGCCTCTTCTATGCAGCAAGAGACCAGGGACTTTACCAAAGTCGCCCCGCGGGCTGGGCCGTCTGCGCCTCCGTCCTCCCGTATGGAACAGAAAGCCATGATGTTTTAAAGCCGAGCCAGCGAAAGCCAAGCCCTTCCTCCCTCTTTGGTGTTCTCGAGCTATAAAGAAGGTGAAGGGGGAAGAGCTGACTGAGATCTCTCGCGCCGCCCGCCGATGTCTGAAGGGTGAGGGTGAGGCGATCCCTGGCCTGAGAGAGCCCCACATAAATGGGGGAGTTGGTCCCCCTGTCTGGGACACACAAAGCAAGCAACAAGCAAAAGAACAGGTTGCAGTTGCCCAGCGTCAGGGGTCTAGTGCAGGGGGCACTTAGGACCAAAATGATGGGGAGAGACAACTGCTCTGGGCAGAGCAGAGGGGGTCAATAATTAGCAGGAGCCTTTCACTCTCTCTCTGGCCCCCTAGCCCTGCAGGGCAATCACCAAGGAGGTCATCAGAGTTTTATTCGAAGTGGACATTTGTAGCTGGAGACCCCATCCTGCGTGGATTGGGGTGGGGGAGATCCTCTGTGGACAAGATCACCAAACTCTTTGGCCTCCAGTTCTTTCCCGTCCACAGCAGGCCTTTGGGTACATCCTCTCCCCAGAGGCCCCTTCCCACCAAAATGAGGGGAAGGGACAGACCCAGCTCCCAGGCCAAGAGGTGGGCATGCCTAGTCCAGCCTTGACGGTGGAACTGGATTTGTACTGGAGCTCCAGGGGCTCGATGAGGGCTGTGCCTGGGTGGGGAGCTCAGAGAGCCGCAGGCTGTCAGCAGCTGGGCTCCACGTAGTTCCCTGGGAAGAATCCAGACCCCTCCGAGCTGACACCCTCACACCAGCCATCTGAGTAGCGGCGCGTGATGCAGATGATGGTCCCCTCGGTGAAGGAGAGCTCGTTGTCCTTCTGGCGGGTGTATGGGTACAGTGTCACCACTGCGGGATGGGAGGAAGGGTTTCCATGAGACGTGCCTCCCACCCTACCATGGGGATGCCAGGAAACATCTAAGGGGAATCCCAGCTGCAGGGAGTGGGGCTCCAAAGCTCTTGGGACCCCCTCCCCAGTTTAGTAATACTCTGCCAGGTCAGCTGCCTGTCTTTCCAGCTTGATTCACCACTCCTGGATGAATATTTGGTCAGTTCATCAGAAAATAGGTGTGTGTGTAACAGGTTCATACCTTTGCAGATTCTAGAGTAGAAGGGCGGGGGGACATCCCTAGTCCCAGGAGTCAAGTACCTTTCTCCAGGTAGGAAGCAGGAACCCAACTAGGCTCTTCAGGGCCGAAGTCTGGTGGGGGCAGAGGTGGCAGCCCCAATTCATCTAGATCTGGGGGCGGAGGAGGGGGCAGATCCAGGGGCGGAGGCAACTCTGGTGCTGGAGGGAAAAGGGAGAGCCTACAGATGTGGCACAGGGGACCCCCTCCAATGGCCCCCCAGAAACTTTGCTGTTCAGTCGGCGCTCCGGCATCTACCGGTTTTCTGTAATCTTTCTCCAGCCCCCGCCCATCCTGGCCTCCACCACGATGCTTCTAGAACTTCTCAGCAAACACACAAATGTTGAGCAATGTGGGCTAGTGAGGCACTGCCACTTAGCTGGGTGACCCTCTGGCAAGTCAACTGAACCTGCCAGCCTCTGCTTCCGGCTGTTAAATCAGTGTGTGAAGATCCTCTTAGGGTTGTTAAAGTTCAAGTGCGAAAATGGATGAGAAACTTGAACACAGAACCTGGCAGAAAGCAGGTGCTAAGTTGTTAGCCCACTTTGGCCCTTTCCTCTCCGGTTACCCCCTACCTGGGATGAGGCGGGCCGATAGGAGGGAGAGGGAGAGGGTAGGGAGGTGAGAAGAGACCCCGCGATAGAGCCAGGAGAGGGCGGAGCTCCTTACCCGGCAGGGGCAGGGACACGTCCTCCAGCAGAGGGGGCGGCAGGAAGACCTCGGAGGCCAGTGGAGGGGGTGGGGCCGGGGGGCTGGGGAGAGGTGGGGGTGGGGGTGCTGCCTGCCCCTTGGTCGTGGAGAGCCCACCGACGCCTTCGCCGCTGCTGAAGACCAGAGAAAGCGGGGCTCGGCAAGGTTGGGGGACACCTTCCCTAACTCAGCATCCCCCCCACTGGCCCCGCCCCCACAGTCGTGCGCCCCAGGCCTGTGATGAGAGTCCTCCCGACCCTAGCAGTCACCCTGACAACTGGCAGGAGGCCCCCTCAACACTCCCCCACCCAACTTGGACTCTTGGGGCTCACCCTGCTGAGGCCAGGGAAGAGGCAGAGGAGGCGGCGGAGAGTTTGCCCTCGGGCACCACGGGGAGCAGCACCGGCTCGGGGATCCGGGGTGGCCTCCTGAGGAGGGAGGGGAGAAAAGGCGCGGGGTGTCGTCAGTTGGGGGAAGTAAGGCTTCGGCAGCAGGGGTCAGGTGCGGGGAGGAGGAAGTTTGGCTTCTCTGCGTTGAGAGTGGGGGAGGAAAGTTTCAGGATCGTGAGGTCTCACCCCAGGGTGGCGGAGGCCGGCGTGGCAGGCGCCTTGATGCTCTTTCGCGAGAGGGTCCCGGTCCGCGACAGCTGCGTGGTCAGATCCTGCGGCGGAGCAGGGGGCTAGAGTGACGTCTATGACTCCCCCCTCCCCCCGTAGCCCCCGTGGTCCCACAAAGGAAACAAGGGAGGGGCAGCGGAGAACTGGGAGGGAGAGAGCAGGGACAGCAAGTTCCCACTTCTACTCCCCAGCCCCCTCTCCCACCCCACCCCACCCCACCCCACCCCACAGCCTCCCCCTCCGGCTGCCCTCCGCCCGGGCCCCGGAGCCTCTGGTCCCCAGCCGCAGGCGCTGCGGAAACCTGAAGCAGACACGGTCTGAAGGCCACTTCCTCTGCAGGGCCTAGCAGCGTCACCTCGCGCCCAAAGCATCTCCATGGCCAGCTTGGTGATCTCTAATTCTGATAGACCCCAACCCGAACTTGGGGCTGAGGAGGTTGGGGTGGGGGAGAGGACCATCACACTTAGAAAGAGCCCACCTGCCATTTATTTTTTTTCCCCACCTGCCATTTTGATGGGCCTGCAGAACCAGCTCTGGACAGAGAGGGCCAGAGCTTTCAAAATGCGCAAATGGCCAGGCCAAGCCCACAGGCAGGGAGCGCATCTGTAACTGGTGGGGTGCCCCCAGCGTGGGGCACATGGGGAATGCTGTCCTCCACTAACCTCCACTGGGCACAAGATAAGAGGGACCCCGGTGGAGTCATAAAGAATAGAAGCTGGGGAATGAGAACTTACTGGTGCCTGAAGGAGGGGGTGTGGTCTGGATGTTGCCGGACAGGAAGGGTTTCCAGGGATCAGTTAGACCCAGGGGAGCTTTAATCTAATCTGGAAAGTTGGCAAGGGGGAACTGAGGAAATGGGGTTGGGGGGGTGTCCTCTCCCACCTCTCAGGGAGAAGGAAATGGCAGTGTCTTGCTCCCCTATCCTCACCAGGCCCCCTTTGAGTGGCTGCACCCCCATCTGTTCCCACACAACAGCAAGCAGCTCTGGGGTGAGCGCTCAGTGCGGTGACCTCAAACCTCCAGACAGAGGAAGTTGCCCTTCTGCGGCTGGGGAGCCATTCTCATGCACACCCTGACACCGCCCCTCCCCCTCTTCCCCTTCACATGCACCCAGCCCCCACGGAAGGGGCTGCTCAGATGCACCCTCAGCAGATCACCCGAGGACATGGTCAAGGCTGGCTGTGGAGGGGGGGTGGTCAGGAAGGACCTTCAAGGAGGGAGGCTTGGGGAGGAGGGGTCTGCTTAGGATGATGGCTTCCGGGGAGTCAGAAAAGATGAGGGCGGCAGGTTGGGACACACAAGGATGTAGATGGGGAAGAGAACTGGGGACCTGGGGTGAAAGGAGCCTTGAAAAGGAGACGACGGTGGGTTGTGGGCAGGAGGAGGGCCCCTCTCCCTACCTTGATCCCATGGCCAATGTCATCCAGGCAGCCAAAGTTGAGGGGTCTCCTATAGTAGGGCGTGAGGGGTGGGAGGCTGTCGGGAGTAATGACTTTCTGGCCAGGGGGCAGCCGCTGGACCGTGGCCAAGGTGCCGATCTCCCTTCGGGCCACCTTCTCCATGTGCATGTTCACCATCTGCCACGACAGGGTTTGAGGCGAAAGTGGGCCAGGCTCTGTACCGCGCCCTTCCTCTAACCAGATGAAGAGGATAGAGACTTTGGGATGGGAGGTTAGGGGCCAGGGGAGGCTGTGAGGTCCAGAGAAAGAGTAAATGCTGTCCCCAGGGTCACTCGGCGTTTGGGAAAAGAATTGCCAGGGGAGGATGGGGCCACTTTGGAGCAACTTCCTCGTGGAAGAGAATGAGGGTTATTATTAGCTGAGCAGGAACCAGAGGAAAAGAGAAAACACCGCTCCCTGGGGCTGCCGGGGCTGCACTGGGTTGGCTGTGAAGCGGAGGTGGATAACGTGGAGGGTGGCAGAGCCTGGTGGCCAGAGAGCCTATCTCTCTGGCAGGGACAAAGCTGTGAATTCACCATCTCTTGGAATGTCATGTGGGGAGACTCCCACGTGAGAGGGTGGGAACTCCGGTCTGCTGGGGCGAGAGGAAAAGGCCCCGCCCACAGTGAACACGCCAGGGATGTGCGGGCCAGGCCCCTGTGTTGGGGACGGGTGCACGTGGTGGATGGGGCAAGTCCTCAGCCAAGGATCCAGGAAGGAAGGAGGAGGGCGTGTGTGCGCTAGATGGGTGGGGAGCGAGCAGGGGTGGAGGGCATGGCGTGGTGCCTTCAGGGCTGAAGATGACCTTGCCAGGCACACACACACGCTCTGGGACGAGGACACTGATTAAGTCACTGCCTGTGTTTAGCAAGGAACAAGATCCGTTTGCCTCTTTCCTGTTCTAGCAGCCTCGGCGGTTGGTAAATTCTGCTGTATCAGGCAGGATAGAATTCAGATGGAAGTCAGAAAGGAAAAGGACTGCCTTCAAGGAGTTCCTAGTCTGGCAGGGCAGCACGGTTCAGCACAGGGACATGCCACAGAGATAAGGAGGCTCAAAACCCTTGGGAAGTGCAAGCATTTGGAGGAAGGCAGGAAAGAACTTTTTGCCCAAGGACACGACCGAGTGGGGAGTGGGGACGAAGGACAGGCGGCCAGGGCAAGAAGCCCTCCTCCAGCCCTCACCTGGC